CCATAGGTCCTCAGGGGCTATTGTATTGTGGTACCCATAGGGCCACAAGGCTATAACGGAGTAGGGGATAAGCAAATAAGGATATAAGGGTAAAGGGGATAAGAGGCTAAGGCTACATGGGCATAACGGATAGAGTTAAAAGAGTATAAGGGGATAAGGATATATGGTATAAATGGATAAGGCTGGAAAGGATATAAGGGATAAGGAAATAACGGAATTAGGCTATAAGGAGTACTACAAGTAGAGTATGACTCTACAAGGGTATCAGGCTATACTATCTATATATATAGATAATGCGAACTGGGTTTTTGTCTATTACCCAATCAAAGCTAAAGGACAGAAATGTAACTTCACAGGAAAAAAAGCAGCCGTACAGTATGCACGGGCTCTCGCTAGTAGATACATACATGAAAGTTTTATTTATACGAGACATAAAAAATCAAGAAGTATAGGAAAATGTTCAGATTTTTATATGATATATATGAATTTTATCTTCTTTGAATTCAGATTATTTATATTATCATTCGCAAGAGTTAAGATAATATTCACACAATGAAACAACCAATTTCGAAATAGTGTAGTTTTTTAGATCATTTTTTCAAATCCTTTATTCAGGCTCATAAATAAAGGACGTTTAAGTAACACTGGTCCAGTCTCATTGCTCCTATTCATCTCTAGAACGTCTGATATAAAAAATATAACCTACTGCAAACTTTTTGTTCTTTAGATGCGATGAATTTTAATAAGTAGAAATAAAAAATTGAAGTTCAATATCGATCGTATTCCCAAAATAGAACAACGTTCACATTACTGCTTCATAAAATAACAATCTGTTCATGCAGCATAATCTTCAATTATGTCAACAATGTATACTCATATTCAACTGATCGATTTAGTTCATTTTCTATTTCAAAATACTCTTCAAAATAAGCTAAACTTAAAATTTTCGTAGAAAGTTGTGCGCAAAAAAGCAAAATACTAATAGTGTCTGAACGAGAGATTCGCGAAATAGTCTCTGGTTGCCTCGTACTCTATTGCGCATCGATATAACGTTTAGCAAAGCGATGTGAAGCACAATCTTCATGAGTGAGGCAGCGCGAGTTTATCTCGCAGAACTCTACCCAAGACATTCAGAAATATTTAACGCTCCTTCTCCTATCTGAACATCATTTATGAATGATCACTTCCAAGTCTTCAAGAACTATCATGTTATAGTCATTTATGTGTGATAAGTTTCTCAAAGATGAATATATGATTGTTCTCTGTATAACACGAATTACTACTGTCCAAATCTTAAATTTTTCCATTCAGACTTTGCAGACAAACCTAATTATGATGTCTAAAGAAACATCAGTGGAATAAATTGAGGATGTTTACCTTCAGTAACACAATTTTTTACAATGAAACATACTTCAGTTAGAGAAATAAAACTATTCGATTAGTTTGATAATAGCATTTAAACTTACTGTTGACGTGTTTTTTGAGAGTATCAATAAAATTTCTTTCAAACAGTGAAGACAGATCAATCGAGATTTTCAATCAGCGTGGTCTTGGACCGACCGGACTACAAATCTGGAATTAACTTAGATCATAAATTTCATATCATCCTTTACAAAAAAGTTCAATTAGTTTGACAACAATCAAACAAAGTAATATTCTAAAAGCCGAATAAAATATAAAACACATATTTTGTATATTTCATCTTTCTTTAACTCGAAATATATATGAATATAATATATTCGAACGTATTGTGAAACATGATTTTTTAATAAGCATTAAAGCTGATAACAAGTAAAGTTGATGTTACACTGTAATAAAAGGAAAAAAGCAATACACACGACATAATACAATGAATAGAAACTTTTAATCTCTAGTTGGATTTACTTTTCTTACATCATTAGATATGTACTTATCATAAAATGAAAAGATGTTTTTGCTTATACTTATATCGAAATTTAATCTCATGTTTAAAGATTTATTTTCATAAAAAAAAAAATTCGACACTTTGAGAACTGATAGATCGTGAATTTTTGAAAATAAAAATATATTATGTTTTAATAACTAATATTAAATAAAGACAAGAACTTTTTCGAGATATTTTTAATTAAACTAGGTCAAAACGTTAATTTATTGCTAACGCTCATTTCAATCAAAACAGTCGATTATCGATCTGACGACATAATTTTGAAAAAAAGTCACAACAATAGACGAAAAGAAAAAAACTAACATAAATCAAAGGATAAGCGGGAATGAAAGTATTTTTCTGCATAAAATAAAATTCTTATTACTTTCAAGCAATATATAGCACCTGATGATATTTCGTTAATCAGTTTTGCAAAGTTGATTAAAAGGTTTTCGAGATCCAATGAGTTTCCGGAGATCTTTGAAAAGTTTTTCTTTATTTTTAATTCTATTAAAATATATACTCAATGATAAAGACCAATGTACTGATTAGAAATAGGATTATACTGAGTGTATCACACATAGTATTCGTGTATCTGTATCTTCTCCATTGATTACTTTAACATCATTAAAAAAATTATTGTAATAGCTAAAAAAGTGTTATCTACTCGAATATGGCTCATAATAGCTTCTTAAAAAATATGATCAGTTATAAAAATTGGGATGGTCTGTGGAAGATCTTCTATTTCTGTTTATCGCACGATAATTGAGAATTTGAAATCTCCTGACAAATTTTAACATTTTTTATTCGTTTCGAATTAATTACATCATCTTTAGAGTTTACCAAATAAATGCATACTCTTGATCTGATATATTGAAAATATTTGGTTTATTCAATATAATGAGCTCAGGATAATATTCTAAAAAAAGAGTTTTCAACAAACTTTCGAAAACCTTAACACAACATTCTTTTTTGGCTTTTCCAGTCAACTAATCCAATAGAGCTTTCGAAGTAAGGGATTTTAGTCTATTTTTCATTGTGATTCTAATATTCTTTCAGGAGTTTGCAAACTCTCAATTTTCGTTCGATAAATAGAAAAATCAGGTTTCTTTTTTTACTTATATTTTCAGTTTTTATTATTAATCGTGCCTTTAAAAGGCTGTTATAAGTCATATTCTAATAGAAGGCATGTTTTTAGCTATTACAATTTTTTTCTATTATGATGTTGGAGTAATCAACGGAGAAGATACAGAAGCACCAATATTTGGTGTGAAATTACATGAACACTTTAAAAAAAATATTAATTTGTTGTTGATTAGAATGCTTTAGGCATTCCATATACTGATATTTGTAATTAACACACTAGTCTCTATCGTTGACTATATGTTTTCATAGAATCAAAAATAATTTTAAAAAAAAATGTAGGTTTCCAAAGATCTCTGGAAATTTACAGATCTCGAAAAACTTTTGGCTAACTTTGCAAAAGCAATCAATAAAATAAAATCAGACGCTGTGTCTTACTTGAAAAATGAAAATTTTTGTTGAAAACAGAAAAATATTATTATCCATGATAAATGGAAGCAACATATTATCACATAAAATTCAAAACTATCAATAAAAACTTGATTTTCACGGTTTTGTTTCATTCACTGAAATTTTATCAATAATCATATACTGTTTATAATAATCATTAAATAATGTTAAAATAGTATCATTAAATAGACTTTTAAGTAATTTATTAAATATTTTCCAATTACCTTCTTCGAAAATTTCATCATGTTTTAAATGTGAATCACCGAATTGATTAAAATTATCTCGATTCCAAACATGCATTGGATATGCACGATCAAGACGATCAATACGACCACGTTCATTTATTTTTAAATTTGGATGTTTTCCACGATAATCAGTTAATAACATTGAACATAATACTTGATCCATATACCAAGCCGCATCACCTTTATCCATACGTTGATCATAAATTTCTTTAAATTCCTTTCTACCATATAAACTTATTGTATCAAATGAAAGAGGAGCTTTTTCACTTAATAAATATTGTGTACGATTATCAGCATTAACAAGAAGTTCAGTACGTTGTACAGATTCCATAACAATAGAACGCCATACTTTCTTTTGTAAAAATATATGACCCACTAGAAAAAAGAAATGTTTTATTTATTTAACTATATGGGAAGATTTCTAAATGTATGATAATTATCTTCATCAAACAGCTTATATGTTTCGATAAGGAGAGTATTGCAAAAAAAAAAGACAGAATTTGTATGATTAATAGAGAAAATAATTTTATCTATGATTATTGATGAATAATCAAAAATAAAATTAAATAGTATGAATAAATAAATATTTCTGACATAGAAAAAAAAATAACTTAACTTACTTGGAAACATTGTGTAAGTTTTTCCACGTCGTTGAAATGTTCCACAACAAAAAGCATTAAAAATAAAGCCATCTGTACCGGGTGTTGGTTTATATTCACTTTCTTTCAATGGAATTAAATCACTATCACCTGTTAAAATATTATCTTCATCTTGAACAATATTATCTGGTAAAAAGCCCGAAAAAACTCGTGCTAATTGAGATAATTTAACTGAATACGATTCATTACATTGTATATCAACAATATGCGCACCAATATGTTTTAAATAATTACGTGATAAATTTAATCGTCCTGTAAGAACATTTGGTTTAGTAAAATCTCCAACAAACATAGCAATTGTTTCATAACCAATACGTTTCCAACTAGCAGCTGCTAGCGGTGTATAAAATGTATATGCTAATATTGTTGAATGAATTGAACAAGCAAATACTGCAAAACGACGATTTTCTGATGGTGGAAGTAAAACTATTTTACTTTGATTAATTTTATCGGTTAGATTAATTTTATCAGTTGGATTAAGTTTATCAGTTGTATTTAGTAATGGATATATAGTGATATTTTCTGATGAATATGAAATAGCCATTAAACTTTTGACTAAAATTGTATTCAAAAATGTCCAATTTAATCTTGTATTTGAATAGAGAATCAGTGATATTATACATAATAAAATGCATAATATAATAAATGTTGCTTTCATACGACTTGATGTAGTCTAGGAAAATGACAGAAAGTTTTCTCTAGAGAAATCTTCACATTCTTTTTTTCTTTGTTTGTGAAAGTGTCCCAAGAGAAAAATTTTCTTCAACATCGTCTTGTGTTTTTAAGTAATACAAATAGATGAAGTTATTGTATTCAAAATCATACAAATTTTGTGCACTTTTTTTTTCTTTCACGTGATTTTAGTACAAAAAAAAACATTTTTTTTTAATATTTACCGATTGATTCGCTGCCGTCATTGAATTAATGAACATTATAATTAAGTATAGATACTTTGCAATAAAAGTATTGTCATATGATAGTATTTTTGTCTACAATAAAAAGCATATTAGCGTTAACTTATGACAATCTATCTTTCATTTTGTAGTACAACTGCAGTCTGTTGATGAAAATAGAGCGAATGTCACGGTCTGTGAAAGAAAAAGAAAACAGAAAGCGACAAGAACAAAGAAAAAAAAAACTCAAACAAAAAAGACAAGTGAAATCCAATATAAAAGAATTATGATAGGAGACGGAATACTTCTGTTTTAGCGAAGACTGTAGGTAAGTATATATGTGCACGAGAAACGATTACAGAAAGCAGAACCGACGAAAGTTTTATTTAATATGCGCACAAACCAGAAGCAAGAGAACAGTAAAAAAAAGAAACAGCAAGAGGCATTGAACTTTTTAAAGTCATGCTTTCTTTTTATTGTTATGGCTACATGTTGCATTAAAGAAAACTGTTTTTTTCTTCTCACTCTATAGAATAATGTCCTCGTCAGATGCAAGCAAAAAAAGCGAAGAAAATCAAGAATAAGAAAATAGAAAAAAATTATCTTTTTATTTTTCAATGTTGTTCGTCATTTCATATTGATAGAAAACATTAAAAGAATATTATTATATGTAGCTCACGCAAAAATAAATTCTTATTTTTCATTAGAATAGTTCTATATGTTTGAGTTATTTTAACCATATTTTATAGCAATATGAAATTCATTAACAATCGAAAGATGTCTATCGTAACTCAAGAATATTGAGCAATTTCAAAGTCTCACCATTAAAGTAAGAAATTTAAAATATGAGCTGTTTATTATGTGTACAGATTGAGATATTCAAATCTAAAGTATTTACAGTCTGGGGAGGGTGCGAGTCTAGGTTAGATATTCTCACAATCTACACTCACACCCAGCCTAAGTCTATATCTAGTGCTGTATGAGTTATAAGGCCAGCTTATTGTTGAATGTCCGTTTATATTCGAACTCGAATTAGACAGCTACTCATTAAATACGACTCAGTACATTCTCGTGCAGACGGTTTCTTATTGAATTTGTCGTCTCTATGTACAAATAAATCATCACAGCAACAGCCATTACTTCATCAACAAAAACAAACATGTGGCAGAACAGTATGCACCAACACATTCCATTAGACGAAAAACAATCAGAAGCTGCACTTACTTTGCCGAAACACCTCGAAATGGCCACTATAACAACAAAGAAAAGTAAATAATGAAAGAAACAATGAGTCACGAGTAAACTACATGTCATAACAAGAAGTTTCAGCATCCGTAAATAAGCACATGCTAAATGAAAGTAACGACATTATTACAGTTGGATCAAAGAAGTCGAGAAAAAAGATCAAAATAAACAAAAAAGTCAAGCGACTCAAGAATAGTAAACAATTACAAGACCAGTCTTACAAGGGAACATTCCCAGCTGTTAATTGTCGATCGGAATCATATTTTGTCCATAAGTAGGGCTCATTAGAACTATGAAATGCCTAAAAGGATTCGTCCCCATAAGCCTTTCTTTTGGAGTTATGACCATTTTACAAACTTTCCAGCTTATAGCAAGCTATTCATAAAAAAGTCAAAAAGAAGGTATTTTCGCCTGAAGTTTTGCCCATAAGTAGGTTTTATGATCTTTAGGACATCTTGAAAATTTCAGTCAAAACAGATGATTTCTTTTTGAAATATTGAATGTTCAAAAACACAATCATATGGCACATACAAGGTAATGAAAACGACTTTTCTTTAGCGTTCAATATCTCGAGAAGAAACCATCCGTTGTGACTGAAATTTTCAAGATGTCCTAAAAATCATAAAACCTACTTATTGGCAAAACTTCAGATGAAAATACCTTCTTTTTGACTTTTTTATGAATAGCTTGCTATTAGCTGGAAAGTTTGTAAAATGGTCATAACTCCAAAAGAAAGGCTTATGGGGACGAATCCTTTTGGCATTCCCTAGTTCTACTGAGTCCTACTTATGGACAAAATATTATTCCGATCGGCGATTAAAAGTTGAAAATGTTCTCTCATTAGATAATAACCAAAATAAATATAATATGCCAATAGAACACTGGCAACAAGAAGTAGTCCATAGTCTACCTTGTTTCACAATTAATCTTTCCTAATCAGAAGATATATTATCAGCAATAGAGACTTCAAAAATACTGTGCGATCATTTTGCAGCTTCACAACTATCTGCTAGATCAGACATCAGCTCAAAACCAGAGTACGGAATAAAGAAGACTATTCTATGCTCTGTGACTATAATACTTGGTCAACAAAAACCCAAAACAGACAAATGACAGTAACGGTACCGAAATTCATCCTCAATCAGTTCGCTCTAGTCCTTCACTATGTTTCACCAGAAATCACGGCTGAACAAGCAGCTAAGGAAGTAAAACCAACAGTTACAATTAGGAATTTTTGAGCGATTGTATATTCGTATTCGCGTTCAACAAATGACTTTTGATTCACAATTTCAAACTTTAAAAAATGCAATGGATTATTATATCTTGATCAGATTGGTGTCGCATATAGAATGCGTATAGTAACGCCTTATAAACTAGTCAATAAATTCACTTACTGCTCAAAATTCTGACTCTTAGGTCATACGTGAAAGAAATGTCAATATATCAAAGCTATGTTCTACTGTCAAGATCTGTCACGAGCATTCTGATTTGAATTTATTTTAAATAAGTCTCCTGATACTAAAGCCTAAATACTTAGTGGTATTTCAAAGTTTGAATAGCAATGTAGAGTACGATAAAGTATTTGGGTTTATTGTCAGACAAACTTACATGAAATGAGCTTAAACTAACGTGTTTCCGGCGCATGTTAATAGAAGAGTCGACATAATTAAGAAGTTCCAAAGAATACATTAGGCTTAATGTCTAAGTATGCTGAAATATGGAACTTTCGCTTTCCTCGCTCGTGGAAACCTCGCGTCAGCTACATGACAGACCGTGACAAGAATGAACATCATCATGTCGAATAAACCACTCAGCCATTACATTGGCATGCTCATCGTGATCTTTGAAGCAAGTAGAGGAGATGAGGTCAATTTTCCTGCCAAATTCTTCAATATTTGTCCAGAATCATGTTCCACAAAAGTATTATAATAGTAAAGGTGAGAAAAATGAACAATGACTAATATTTGTTTACCGACCGGTACCTGGTAAGGAAGAAATCTTACCGATTGCAATACTGACATTCAAAAGCTCTTCTATTATCACAAATTCTAGAAGAACATCAAACTTATCAAACTCCCTTATAAATGTCAAAAGTCGATGAATCCTCTAGTTTGCTTTGTTCTATTCGGCATGATCTGGTTAAATTTATTTTTCAAATATGTTCATTTCATTTTGTGAGCAAACATGTATAGTCTACATGATTAGCAATCATGCAGAGTTAAAAGGCATTCTAAATCAACAAGAAAAAAATGAATTTGAAAAATTCGTCTCATGCATTGATTGAAACAGCAAAAACGATACACAATACGAAACGAATTCTTCAGCAATTCCCAGTACATCAACAGGCGTACAGAATTGCTGTCAATTCAGTAGTTAATCAAGGTTAGGAACGTCACTGCATAGGTGAAGTAGTAACAAGCTCGCAAAATAATTTATAACGCGTAAAAAGAAGCAGAAACAAATAGATTTTTTCTCTTGTTTTTATTTCTTTCCTCTTCTATCCTTCTTTCATACACACCGCTTTTCTTTTACATTTTTCCAATACACTGTTCTGTGATCCACTTCATTTCTCTACTTCGTAGGCGTAAGAAAAACATGTATTCAGAAATGTTACCAGTTCTCAAATACGTTGTAGTACTTTGTTTTTCTTTCTTTTCTGCGCTTTTATTCTTCTGTTGGCATCATTGTAAGGGCGTTCGAACAAGTACAATCCAAACACACTGCATAATGAAAAGAAAGCACTTATGCTTATATATTAAATCAACGAATTCTATTCAATCATGATAAAAAGAGAAAGAATAATGCTGCTGAATTTTTGAACAATATCGATATACTATAAATATTTTAAAATTTACATATGTCAATCCATGCACATTGTAAACAACTCATATTTTAAAAATCCTAGTTTGATAGCGACATCTTTCAATTGTGAAAAAGAAATATTTTGATTGAAAACATCAGAATGAATTAATTGTATCAAACTGCCGTAGTAAGTCAATCGTATTTACCTTTCAAACAGTTACAATAATCACTGAACGTTTTTTAGATCATTTCATTAATAATGCAGAAACGATACGCAAGTCCACTATTTTTAAATACTTAGAAATTAACATTATAATTAAAATTCGTTTTTGTCATATCAATCACTTGAAATCGTTCATGAATCGAAAAAAATTGTATCGTGTCTATCTGCGTAGTACTCATGTTTATCAAGTATCGTTGTGTAGAAATGAACCACATACTTACAGATGTTGATATTTATATATGCATGCATAGACATTATGTGACATTTGTCTTGATAGTCAGAGACGATCGAATTTTCTTTATTTTCTGTCACAAGAATCGTGTCTAGGCTGCAAGAAAATCTTAAGCATTCTATAATTCTTTCGATCACTTCATTAAACAGACAACATATTTTCTATCTTGAACTTCAAGAATAATAAAAATCATCATGATTGATCAATTAAGAAAAACAAGATGTTGCAAAGAACGATGACAAGAACATCAATTAGTGTGGGCGCGCCTTCGTTAAACACTCATCATGACACTATGGTTTTTATATTTATTTATCAAATCAATTGAATCATTTCATTCTTTAAATCCATCAGATTTATTATGCAAAAAATGTATGTTATGTTCTTTAAGTTGAATCTATTTTAGAAAATTCATATTTCAGATTATTATCGATTGATTACCGATCAATGGAGTTATATCATCACGTCAGATAATCCATTAATCGTAAGAATCAATATAAAACAGAATAAAATATGAAGAATTGTTTTTTTTCATAGGCTATTCATGCTACTATTGGTCTAGATAATAAGCATGTATCTCATTTATTAACAGAACTATGGTATGAACAAATCAATCATCAACCTCTAATAGTGCAATCATCATGGCCTTTTTTTAAATCATATGGTGAATTAAATAAAGATCATGATCATTTTTGGGATTTTAATTTTTCTTCAATTTTAAATAAATCAAGTATTTATCTAATTGAAATTAATTTTTGAGAAAAAGATTTATAGATTTATTTTTTGATCATAAATCAATACTTAATATACAATCAACAATATTTAATAAACCAATTGATCTTATCATTCGACGTAATGATTTATTATTGAGAATACCAAAATTAAATATTTTCTCTTTTTTTCTTGTTTTATATTTCAAGGAAAACAATGGAACAATTGTTCTTATCCAAAATCATCAATAGATTTTGCTATTTGTTGTGGTTTATGCAGTATAATTGATACTTGTCCGGAAATAAAAATTCTTCATAAACATTCAAGACATGATATCATTGTAACAAATCGTGGTTTAATTATACATCGAACATTGAAAATATTTCCTGAAGAATTTATTTGTTCACTCTTTCCATCAGTTTGTTTAATAAAAGAATTTCTTTTAGATATCTACTTAGAATTTATTTATAGAATCAAACATATCGTTTTTGGTCAACAATAACTAATTCAATGAATATTGGTCAAATACCAGATAGTAAGATTTTAAATAGATATTTCGCATAGGATTTAAACCAGCGGTATATCGATAACTCTTCTGTAACCGATAATCTACTGTTGCTTTACCGTCTGTACTACAAACGAACGTGCAATATCCCAGTTAAGCGCAAGTGTTTAAAAAACCGCAGGTCTTTACAGGAAGCTTTCAGAGACTTGCAAATTATTTTTCAAAGCATCATATCTTATGCATAAACATGCAAGCTATTTCAAATATTTGCAATTGTTCATATGATGCGTTGTAAGAGTTTCCCTGAAAACTCAATTAAACATCGAGGGAGGAGATATAGCGATATTCATTAACTAGTGCAGATAATCTTTATATAGTATTTGACCAATATTCATTGAATTAGTTATTGTTGACCAAAAACGATATGTTTGATTCTATAAATAAATTCTAAGTAGATATCTAAAAGAAATTCTTTTATTAAACAAAC